GGGGGGGGGGGGGGGGGGGGGGGGGGGGGGGGGCAGGAAGGCATAAATTTTTTCGATTGTGGTAAAAACACCATTTTAATGTTTTAAAATAATTGCATTACGATTTTAAAAATCAGCCCTAGTTCTTGCTCCATTTTTTTTTTCAATAGGTTTGTTGTGCACGATATTTTTTTTCTGGATGTTTTCTGTGCGCGAATTTTTTTTTGGTATTTGCCCAAACCCCCCTCAAATATCTAATGGTCCGTCCCTTATTGGATTAGGTCAGATTTCAGCATTTTCATATAAAAAGAATGCAAGTTTCGCAATAGTTCCCGGAATAGTGTGGCTTTTACTGCGAAGACGAGCATCGATAATTCTCTTGTTACATACATTTAAAGTTGTAAAGTTGTTGACGAGCATCGATAGTTCTCTTGTTACATACATTTAAAGCTGCGTTACCAAACTGAAGATCATTCCTAGCGTATTTACAAAGTCACAAGATGAGCAGCGAAGATTTATTGACGAAATTCGACGAATTGGTGAAGCGATTCAAAGAGGAATTCAACACGATTATCCAAGGCGAACGAGCAAAAATGAAGGCGGAAGTGGAACAGTATAACGCAGAGAAGAAACGAATGAAACCGTTTGAAGTTAGTGACGATGATATAATACTTCTGAACGTCGGGGGACAAAAATTCACCAGCACAAGATCTACTTTGTGTCAAGTAGAAGGTTCCTTACTTGCCACCATGTTCAGTGGAAGGTGGGAAGATGGTCTCAAGCGTGATGAAGATGGCGCCGTCTTCCTTGACGTCAACCCACAATATTTTAGTTATATTTTGGATTATCTTCGCACGAAGAAAATTGCGTCGCCAGAGAACTCTGCAGAATTGCCAAAAGTTCCAAGAGATCAAGTGAAAAATTTCAAAACTCTTGTCGAGTATCTCGGCTTGAGTGATGAAATCGCAGTGCCTGTTGAAGAGACTGTTGAAATCGTCCCAACTGAGGTTGTGCCCAGCGAGAAATTTAATTTACACAGCCCTGGAATTACTCTTCAGGAAGACGCGAAAGTGGCAGTTCACGGTCCAAATGTAAGGCATCAATATGTACTTGGTGAAAATATTTACCAACAAGGCAGGCGCGGATCCAGACCGTGGCAAAAGTGGCTCGAGCCACGGTCAGATTTTTCCCACCCAGGATTTTCCGGGGTTCACCTTTGTTGGATACTGCATTACGCATTTTTAAGAAGTATATATTAGTTATTTGAAATACAGCAAAATTGAGCAAATATAGGTCTATAGCAAACAATTTGAATAATATCTTTCGTAATTGTTCTCATATTACAGTAATATTATATGTGCTAAAAGCAGGAAAAACTTCCGAAATATATTCCTTGTTCAATAGTATAATTATCCAGTTAAACACTGAACTATAAAAACCGCCGAAAGCGTGCCGAATTGTGCCGAATATGTTCGGAAAACAGTCGTAAATTCGAAGCTGCGATCACAGCCACAAAATGCAACGGTCAGCGTGCAAAAAATTGCGCAATTGTTACTAAATATAGTAACTTTCTGCCACGGTGCAGCCACAGATTAAGAGGACCAGATGTCCGACTTCAGTCAAAAAAGCGTAAGGGCTTCGTCACTGCGCATGCCGTACTGCGCATAGCTTAGCAAGTGACTAGAGGCAGTCACCCCCCCGACATTAAATTTCAAAATGGCGCGCACCAATTTATTTACATGCGGCTAAATCGAGGAATGCACATTTGCCCGACGCCATCTTGAATTGCGCGCAATGACCTGGGTCTCAGTTATGATGTCATAGTATCAACCATGAATGATGTAATCAAAACAAACGTATTCGCGGGAAAATTAAAATAGTGGATTTTGATTGGATAATTGTTGCTCGCTCATTGCCACTTTATAAATAGTCTATTAAAAATGGTCATAATAAAGCTAGTTTACAGCAGCAAAAATTACAATAAATACACTTTTAATGCTTTTAAATCATAAATAATCATATTATAATGATTTAATATAGCTTTTGATATCATATAAAGGAAAATAAACCGGCCGAAAATACAAAATAACAACATCTCGCGTATCGACATTTTTCACAGTGATTTGTATGCATTAATCGACACTTGGTCTCTGGCACGCAAATTTACTTTCGTATAGTGAGCACATAGTTGTGTTCACGGTAGCTGGAAATTCCGAAAATACCCTTCGATTCCGCATGAAATTCTGTATAAACAGCCCTAGTTTTCCTTTTTCATTGAAAAACTGAACGGAGATATTCGCCCTTTAATACTCTAAAACTCGAGTCTTTATCCTACTATAGGAATTTGTGTACACAGTAGATGGGAAATCGGAGAACACGATTGAATTCGCCATAAAAATCGGCAACTTTTCATAGTAAATATCTCTACTCAACTGTTTAATAAAGAAAACTTTTTATTGCGTGTTTACCTCCCAGCTGACAATAGAAATAAACTACGGATGTAGACAAGGGATAAAGGAGCACTTTAATGGATAACCATTTTACTAACTCATTATTATCATAAGATAACCACAAATGTCCCGAGTTAATAATGATTCAAGATGGCGTCATGTAAATGTGCATTCCTCGATTTAGCCGCTAGTAATTTACATTGAGACAACATGAAAATAAACTCTTTTTATTTGCCCGAGAGAGGGATTGTGTGGTTAAATTTGTGTTTAAAACTTTCAAAGTCAGTACGCGTATTGGAAAAGTGAGTTCATCACACTTAATTTGCAATATTTTACGAATTTTTCTCTTTTTCGATCGTCGTAGGGGTGAAAAACTATAGGCGAAATGAAAATGCCACTTTGCTGAGGTATTTGAAGTCATTTTCTACAATGTACGATGTGTTTTCTTGCACTTTCGACGATGTATGATATTTATTGACAAATTATGTGCATAATTTATAGTTTTCTTTGCATAGATATTAACTAGAAGCAGAAGACAACTAGATAAGTTAGTTTTGTTTACAAATTTTACATTGTATGCATGAATGTATACATAGTATTTGTAAATATTAAGTTAATTCATCTACTTATACAAAGACTCTCTGATAAAAATCTTGTAACAGGAAATGTGAGTTTCCATGGGCGTACCGGAAGGAAAAAATTAGGGGGGCGGAAAGAAAATTGCCCGACTTTTTGGGATTCTGCCCGACTAGTACCAAAAAATTTTTTCCGGAAAATTTTTTTTGGCGACCCCCCCCTCCCCCCCCCGTCGCCAAAAAAATTTCGGTCAGTGTACCATTTAAGGGGTCAAAAAAAATTTTCGGACAACCAAAATTTTTCGGAACATACCACAAACTTTCGAAAAATCACAAAATTTGCCAAAAAATTGACATAATTTTAGACAAAATTTACAAAATTTGTCCCATTTTTTTTTATTGCAAACCGAAATTGCCCGACTGTTGATCGAATATTGCCCGACTGCCCAAAAAACTGGGGGGGCTGCCGCCCCCCCGCCCGGTACGCCTATGTGAGTTTCAGAAACTGTGTCTCAGACAAAAATTATTATAAAATTAAATACCTCACCTAGTCTACAAACAGCAAATTACAAAAATATATAATTTGGGTATATTGGACAGGTTTCCTCTAATGTTAGTATAGACTACATGTGTAGGATATTAGCACACTGACTAAATGGAATTCAATATTTAACATTCTATAAAATCTGTTTTGTTTACACAAGTCTCACAAACTATGCAATATTCCTGACTGGAAAGTTTGCAAAGGGTGCAGCTAATTTTTGTTTTAATAGGTAAAATAGTATTATGCCGCAAACTACAAACTTTCCAGACAGCGGCCAATATGAGACTCCTATAGCCGAACCTCCATTAAGCAGCCCTCCTTTACGAATCATGCTTAATATTTTGCTTTATACACATATTAATCACACAGTAAATATAATGTTCAACACATGTCGACACCAACAGGTCAATGTAAGTTTTTGTATCACTGTTCGTTAACACTTCTTGATCTTTTCAGTCTACCTATTACTGTAATCAGTGATTTATGATTGAATAAATAGACATTGGACCCCCCTCCCCCAGTCTACTTTATGGCCACTTCATTGAGCATTGAGGTTGAATTGTATTTTTTATACTATTTAATTTTGTTAATGTTTAACCCATTAAGGGCCAGCACTCCCCCCTTGACAAGTAAAATCGTCTGGCGTTAGACAGAGTGAAACAATAAAGTAGGGCGCATCGGGCCGCAATGCGACTCAATGGGTTATATGTAAAGTAGTATTAGTATATAACAACAACAGGGAGTTGCACATTTGCATGATAACTCTTGTTGCAGGTTAAAGTCATTACCAAGTGAGTAGTTAGACAGATTTATACAACAAATTAGGCTTTTTCAATAATTATGTCATGTATGCCGGTTTAGCCTGGGCAACTCGCTTTCATGTATCAGGACAAAATGTGATTGGATCACTATTCATGCATGGGAATTTATTGTTTGTAGGTGAGATATTTTAATAAATATTCTAGAATAATTTTGTCTGAGACACTCAGACACACATTTTCTGAAACTCACATTTCCTGTTACAAGATTTTTATTAGAGAAAATACGTAATAGATGAATTAACTTAATATTTACAAATACTATGTATACATTCATGCATACAATGTAGAATTTGTAAACAAAACTTGTTAGAAACTGATCGACTTTAACCGTAACCGTATTTCATTGTAGTTTTAATGAGAAGTATACAGGACGTATAAAACCTGCTTAGCGAAGCATATAAAAGAACAAAAGCATGCATCCCTATCACGTGACTTAATCTAACACTAAGTGAGTCATTATACCAATGTTGAACTACATGAAGTATGCAGTTCAACACTCCCACTTAATGACTACACTATGTAAGTTCATTATGTCATTAAACCTATAAACTAAAAAATGTCAACTCAAATGCATCTGAATGTCATTTGATCATACAATGTCTTTTACTCCCATCATGTCTCTAAACCTTTCAAAAGATACCTTTGGTAAAGCTTTTGTCATTACATCAGCTAGCATGTTCTCAGTTCGACAATACTTAACACAAACTATATTAC